GATAAAAACGATCTGTTCAGGGTGAACATGTATAGAAGCGAAACACGCTTGGCCTCCAATTCCTTATATATTCTCTCACTGAACTTCGCATCGAGCCCATTCCTTCCTTCGCTCCTATTCTCTACACTTTTTTTCTTAGCGCCCTTCTCCTTTAACTCAAGGCGCTCGTGCTCGCTTGAGCCCATTTGAAGACCTCTGAGCTGATGAGAGCTTTTCAAGTCTTTTGAAAGGGTTCGTAGTGGGCGTTTCATTGCAAATTAGGGAAAATATGAATTTAGAGGTGGGCCTAGGTTGGGAAGTGGAGGGTGGCACCACTAACATGCGGACCCCACTGCCGCAGAGGCTCAAAAAAGGCGTCGAAAGCACTATACAGGAAAGTTGCTCTGTGAGGATTTTAATGAAGAACTCCCAAGCGGACATATTGAATACTTTAATTGCCTGTAACAACTTCTGATAACAATATTTATCAAATTTTTACATTTGTCGGTCACAAGTGATAAAATTGATCTAATCAGAGAATTGATTATGGAAGACTAATCTTCCAGCGCTCTCCAACTTACCTTTTTCTTACCATGTTAGTACTTTACAGAATCAGAAAAGCGTGCGATTCGAACTACTCAAATAAATCAAGGAAAAGATCAACTAAGTTAGGGTAAGACCGTAGTTAGTGTACAAAACTCGTGCACCTCTTATTAGCACTCAGCCGCTCGCACCGTTACTGTCACTTTTCAAAATGTCCGAGGTCTTTCACACTTTTTAGTGAACCTGCGAAAATTCCATGTGAAGCACTTTGATTAGCACATAAGTGCGGCTTTATCGGCACGAACTCGGTGTTTGTTTCTCTTCAGAAACCGAATCTTCATGCGTGAAACTTTGTGTGCTATTTCCAGTGATCACAACTGACATATTCATGTTAGGAAAGAGTGCAAGAATTTTCCGCGCAAGATTCCTTTAAATAAGCAGGTCCGAGAATGCTATGCCTAGCACGCGTGCGTTCGTCGCGTG